CTGCGCCTGCGCCTCTCTGCGCCTGCGCCTCTCTGCGCCTGCGCCTCTCTGCGCTTGCTCCAGAGGCTGAGCTGGTGGGCTGGAGGGGAGTTTTAGAGTTGAGCTTACGGACCCTCCCCCTGGCCTGCAGGCATCCCCGCCCCGCCCACTGAAGTCGGCCGTGAAGTCTGCCTGCTGTGCCCTGCCTGAATTCCTGATGGAGTGACGCCACCAAGTTTGCTGTGTAGCGATAGGTGCCTGAAAACCCACTAGGTCGGCTGGGAAAGGACAACTCAGCGACAGCCTCCTAGGAATCATCACCCCCTGATTGTTTGCAGCCTCTTTTTGCAGCAGGGTCATCTGGACAAGCATTCCCACGGGACACGCGGTGATTGCACACGTGGGCCACACCCAAGGCCCACCCTTAATAACCCCAGCACCAGTCCCCCGGTGTTTTCTCCTTCAAGTTCCTGGACTCTGGCCTCTGCCCAGGACTGAGCATGCTGACTTTGGCCTCTTTTTCTTGGCAACGTAGACAGTGAGAGGTGCCACTCGAGTTCTGCCCAAGGAGAGCTTCCTTCTCCAGGGTCCTTCAGGGCTGTTTACCCATCAGAGCCAGCTAGCCATGCTGTGCAGAGCCCTGGGGAAGCCAGGTCGTGGCGGATGGGAGAGGATAGTGCTGGGGTTCCTTGCACTGGCAATTACATGCTTTGTCCCAGAAATCATTCACCCTCTCCACCTACAGCCCAGACCTGAGCATGTCGTATGGCCCCTCCCAACGGCGAGTACGGGCAAGTCCCACTTTCCCATGTCATGAGTGAATAGGAAAAATTCTCTTGTAAAGAGGGCTGCCTTCAGTTGCTTCAGCACCCTGCACTCCCAAAGAGCCTGATCTAGGACCCCCGGTTCTTTACAACAGCAAAATCCATTGTGTGTGAGCACCTAATGTACTTAGCCCGTCTCCTGTTGATGGGCATTTGTGCTGTTTCAATCTGTTGTGATCACGATACGATGAATAACCTTGTTTGCACCTCAATTCACACATCAGCAAATTACTTAAACTTCCTGTGACTCGGTTTCCTCATCTATAAAGAGGGATACGAGTAACCCTATTTATGGAAGGTAATATACTAAAGCCTGTAGCATAATGCCTAGCAATCAATAAGTGTTAGCAACTATTATTATTTGCAAGTGCAGCTGTAGGTGGTTCAAGGATACATGCCTTTTCAGTTAGGATCCAAAGTCCTTGCACTGGCAGTGTCTGTTCCAGCCTCTAACCCGCCTGGCAGGAGGCCCTAACGTTGGGCAAGGCTCCTGAGAAGGGTCTGCTCCTCTAGGCTGCACCACCGCAGGGGGGGTGGGGGGGCCTCCCGTGGCTCCTCCCTGGAAGCCCAGAGCACTAACCTCACCCCAATGCCTCTGCTTTTCCAGGGCCTCTCACCACTGTGGACACTCCCTCACCAGCTCACCCAGGCTGGGCTGTTCTCTCTGCCAGCCTTCATCCTGTAGCAGCCTGTATGGTGAGGAGGCAGTGGGAGAGCCACCTGGACCTGGACGACCATAGGCCTCAGTGTCCAAGGAAGTCAGGACAGCCCCACCTGAACAGAGGAGTGACTGTGCCTCCCAGACCCAGCTTGGGCTGCTCTGAGCTCCTCAGCTCCTGCCTCCAGGGGTCTCTCAGCTTCCGCTGTCCCTAACGAAAGTCCTCTGGCAGGCGGCCTGATGGGGCTAGAAAGCATGTTTACATGAGTGAGCCTTTTCTCTCAAGTCTGTGGGGACCTCCAGGGCAGGGACCACAATTAATTCTCTGTTGCCTTTGTCTCTTCCTGTTTCTGGAGTTCAGTAAACAGACTACCTGGATGGCTCCATCCAGGAAGACGCTCTGTGTTTTAGGATTTCAAGTACCTTAGCCGGCTGCCACCTCCCCTGAGTCTGACAGTGAGGGTCCCAAAGCCCCCTCCTCAGGAAACGCAATGTTCACAGCACCCATTCCCTTGTGGAAATTTTATTGATCCTGGGGCCAGGAAGGCAGGCAGCCCATTTCCTGCTGAGGGTGCCACAAGCCCTCACTGTTTCCCATTACCATTGATGGGGCGGTTCACATGTTCTGGGGAGGCCAGGAAGGCCTTGAGCTTGGGCCGGGCGCTGAGGCGAGCCACGTAGGCCGAGAGCAGCGGGAAGGAGTCCAGGCAGCCGGGGGCCAGGACCTGGTGATTCTGCAGCAAGTCCAGCAGGTTGTAGTCCGCGAAGGAGATCTGCGGGGCAGGGGGCCAGGGACTCAGCAAGTGGACAGCCCAGGGGGCAGGGGAAAGTAGGGAACCCAGAGGCTGAGAGTCTGAGCCATTCCCTAGGTCTGCCCAGCAACGAATGGCTCACATGCTCTCTTCTCTACATCTACTCCCATCTGTAAGAAGAGGGTGGCATGGTAGGTAGGAGCAGCACAGGGACAGTCACTCACCTGGCTGCCCACAATGAAGGCCTGGCCTCCCTGGTTCTGGGACAGCAGAGTCTCAAAAGGCTTCAGGTACCCGGGCAGCTCCTTTATGTAGTCTTCCTTGCCCGCCTCCTGCCAGAAAGGTGCCCCTGCATATTACTCTCCTGACCCTCACACTGCTGGCCACCCGTCCTGGCCTGGACATGCCCACTTCTGCTGGCCCCCATCTCAGGGAATCAGTAGTCACCTAGAGCCCCAGTGCTCTGCTCATTCCGCAACCCCAGCCATTGTCACATTCTGTCCATTTCAGCAGCCAATTCTTTCCTTGTCTACTCCATTCCAGCCTTAACATGCCTGCTGTGATCTCTCACCAGGCTACTGTAAAAGCCTTGAAGGGTCCTTCTAGACCTCACATTTGGACACCACCCTGCTTAGACTCCTCAATGGCTCCCTACTGCTGGCAGAACATCCAAGCCAAGGGATTCAGACCTTCAGGACCTGGGCCTGCTGCCCCTCCAGCTCTCTGTCCTCACACACAAGCACACACACGCCCTGCCTCTGCTCAACTGGTCTCAGGTCCCTGAATTTGGTCCGTGCCTGCATACTTTGTGCACCTGAGTGCCAGCACCCCCTTGCAGAATCCTTCTCCTCCACCTACTCCAAGAAGCCCTCCTGACCTCCCTAGCTGAGGCGATCAGAAACCATCCCTGGCTCGATTCTCCTGTCCTTGCTCTGTTTGCCATTACCCAGTACTTGACTGGGTCCATCCCCTAGGCAGTGAGGCTGAGGGTTGTGGCTTGTCCATAATAGCTGCTGGCCCCCAGCAGAAAGCCCAACCCAGCCCAGGTCCTCTGACCAACAGAGAGCTCAGCCACAGCCATGTGAGTGGTGTGGTGTGGGGCAGAGTACACGAGGCCCCTTTCTCTGTTGGCTCCCCCATGCCCGCCCCATGACTGCACTCACATAGTTGGTGTAGATGAGGGTGACGTATTTGCAGCGGAGTTCCTCCACGCCGTCATTCACCACATCTAGCTGGGAAGCCTCCCGCTGGTCCTTCCCATATAGCCCTGGGGGGGGGGGGGGCGGGAGAGGAGACAGCATGACTGGGCCCCTGACACAGAACTGCCAGCTAATCTATTGACAGGTCATGTGGCTGCCTGTGGGCCAAGGCCAGGGAGGAGGGTGTGGCCGGAAAGGACAGTCCTGACCCATAGTAGGTGCTCAGAACTCAGTGGGAGGCAGCCTGGCATAGGGCTAGGATTGTAGGCAGACCTGGGTTTGACCTTGGGCAAGTTATATAACCTCCTTGTGCCTCCATTTCCTCCACTCCACAGGTGTGCTTGGCTGCTTGACTGGGCTCAGAGGGTTGGCACTGAGCAGGTGCTCAGCAACAATGGCTGATGCTCACCTGCCCCTGCCCTGGACTGGACAGCCTGTGACCTCAGGACTCACCGAGAGAGCGGCCCAGGTGGCGCAGGATGGCATTGGACTGGTACAGGGTGAAGTCTCCATCCTGGAACTTGGGGAGCTGCCCGTACAGCTGGGGGTGGCACAGCTCTGTCAGAGGTGCTGAGCTTGGCTGCCCCCCACAGTCGTTTTGTCCCCCCCAAGGCCCAGCCCCTGACCCCACTGGGCACAAGCACTCACACAGGTCGCCTTGAGAGAGCCCTGCAGCCAAGTCTCCTTGGTCACCACCTCCTCCTTCCAGCTCTGGCCCTGATCAGCCAGCAGCATGCGCATGGCCTCACAGCGCCCTGGGGGTGGGGAGAGAGAGTGTGGGGACAGGCAGAGCCCCAGCCTCACAGAGCCCTGGGGAGGGGTTGCCTCCATTGATGTCCCAGCACACAGGAAGGACACTCCAGCCTTGGGAGCTCAGGAGGTCTGGGCTAGTAGCCACAGGAGGAGGAATAAGGAAGAGTTAGGGATCTCCCCCAGGTGGTTGATGGGCCGTGGGCTGCAGCCCCAAACCTCTGCCTCCCTCCCTCCCAGTCACAGGCCCCTACCTCGAACGGGGAAGTAGACGATGGTGTAGGGCGGCACTAGAGGGGACAGAGAAGTTTGTTAGAGTCCCGGAGAAGGGCGCTATAAAGGGCAGTGCATCCACTCATCCTCCCTGGGGTCCCATCCCCTGCTCTGGGTGCTCCATGCTCCCTAGGAGTTGATCTCTGCGTCGGGGGCGCTGGGTCCCCCCGCGAAGAGCCCCAACCCAGCGCGGGTGCCCTGGATCCCAGTGCCGGTTTGGCGGGGAAGGCAGGGCCTTCTAGGAGCCCCGGCCCGAAGCGGGGATCCGGGCCGCGTTCTGGGTGCGCTCCAAGCCCCCTGAGAGCCCCGCCCGCCCCAAGCCCCTCAGAAACGCAGCGTGGACTCACTGGTTTCTATGTAGACAAAAGAAGCGGTGACGACAGCAGCTATGGCAGCAGCTATGGCAGCGGTACACAAGCATTCCTGGAGGCCTTGAGCTTTATAAGGGTTATCCCACCCCGTCCCGCCCCCAGCGCTGCGTCACAGCGTGGGCTGGTTCCTCCGCTGCCCCCCCCCCCAGCCCGCTGCGCGCGACCCTGCGTCCCGGGAGCGTTTGCGCAACATCCGTCTGGGACTGGTGGGCTCCCGGTGAGGGCTGGAGTACAGACTCCAGAATTTTCCAGAGGCCTTGGCTTTGCCCGGCCACTTTCCCTGTTTGGGTTGCAGACCTCAGAGGCACAAGCGCTTGCATGTAGGCATTTGTTCCCACAGACAAAAGACAGGACAGACGCTGCACATAAACGGACACACACACGTGTACAAACCACACTCCAAGCTGGGCTTTTCATCCCCATCAGTTATTTGAATGCCACGTTCATGGCTCTTGTCATGTCATGTATCCGGATGCTACCTCCTTACCATTTTTCCTTAAACTACCTTACTTCAACTCAAATGTGCCTGTTTAAAAATGGAACCTGTTTCATTACTAATTGGAAACAGGCACCACTGGTTATAAGCAGAAGGTCACTGAAAGAATAATCACAAGAACATGTTTTTAAAATCTATCTGGACAACGGGACACCGGACCCTCCCTTTTCAAAAGTAACATTAGCGAGGTGTTTCCGGCACACAAACACCAAACAGCTGTGCCCCTCCGTGTCATTGGGATTCAGGACAATTGCGGAGGGTTCCAGGATGAGAGCTGCAATGTTGTTTAACACCATCTGACTGCCTTGGAACCCCTTTCTGGAGGTTCAGGCCCTACTCTGGGACCCCATGATGGCCATGAGGGACAGCGCTGCTGGCAATGTTTCATAAAGACCCCTCCTGCAGAGCTGGTGAGGTGGGCTGAGGTTGCAACCGGGCCCCAGGTGGAGGCTGGCCTGGGCTGGGCCCTGGGCAAGTTCTCCAAACTCATTCAAGTGGAAGCTTTCGGACTTGGTGATTGTTGGGGAGGGAGGCCTCCAGAGAGACTGAAGGGTCCCTCTTTCCCAGAGATGGGGACTCAGGAGGAGAGGCAGCCACACTGTGTTCCCTGTTGGGCCTAGTGAGTCCAGGTGTCTGTGGGTTTGGGGGGTGGGAGGCTTGTCTCCAGGAGGCAGAAAGAAAACCCAGACAGGGTCTCAGCAAGTGATGGGGTTGACTCAGGAGAACCGGTTTCCTGCCCGAGGGCCAGGAAACTCTTCATCTTTGATGCCTCTTCCTGCCCAGCGCAGTAATTCTTCAGGGGCTAGATGAAGCTTGAAAACACCATCACTATATAAGGTAACTTTATATGTGGACAGTAAACGATCATTTCCTTATAGCCCCAGGGCAGGTGGAGTGCAGGGGTGGCACCTTCCGAGAGTGACCTAGCCAGAGGTGGTACAGGCAGGAACAGGCACTGTTCTGTGCCAGGCAGCTCTGGCTCATGGAGGCCTGGGCCAAGTCACCATTAGCACAGTGCCACCTGGGCCTTACAATACACTCCAGGGTCCAGCCAAGGGGCCAGGGCTTAGGGTCTGTGCCCCTCCCCACTCCTCATGAACTTCCTTCCTGAGGTCTTAACAGCACCCACTTTATCCCTTAATACACCAAACTCTGTTCTTATTCTCCTAGAAAAGCTTAATTTGGTCATTTGACTTGTGTTAAAAGCACCCTCAAACTTGCTTTCCCCAGTCCTGCCATACCTGGTATTCAATGAGCTACAAAAAGTAAAGAAAAAACAGCAACAAAAAAAAAATAGTTGCAATTTTATATCTAAAACGTGTACGGAAAAGGGGCCACATATTAAACCTGACAAGCCCAGGAGACTGAAAAATCACCACATAAGATGGTCTGAACATAAAAATTCCTAACTAGAAGTGAGTCGTGACCAGCAGTCACATCCTTGACCTGTAGCTTCCTTAACAAAGGTCAATCTTTACCTCAAGTGAGTCTGTCTGTTGTCTTTTCGCATCTAAGATAACAGACGTTTGCAATATCGGAGTCATCTCTTTTTCCAGACCCCCAGGGGGCACAACCCACCACACCAGAGCAGGAATCTACAAAATCTCTTGTTATCTTGTTCCCCAAATACCATCTCTATATGCTATAAAATACTATTAACTATTCTGTACCCACCAATGTAAAAGAAGTGTGTGTCTCTCCATTTTACTTTTTATCCAATCCCAGAGATTTCCCTGTTTTGCTTTCTCCCACTCCCTTAATCTACAACCAATAGTTTTCGTGTAACTTTCCTCCTTTGACTCTAATGTATAAAATAAGTTACAAAACGGCCATTTTCCGGAGCATTTTCTCAATCCATTGAGACTTTGCTTCCCGGCAATTGTTGTCAGTTTGGCTCAAATAAAGTCCTATCAGCTTTCTCTTAGGCTGGATGTTTTTTCATTGACATTACTTGGCGTAGTTGGGCAGGGTTACAAAGAAGCCCACCCAGGAGCACCCTGCGGACCTGGATTCAGTGCTAGGTACCAGCAGGGGCCCACTGTGCCCCACCAGTTCCCTGCTTGTATCAGGTGAACTTGGGTGAGCTTTTCTTGGCATTCCAGACCTCTCTGTTTTAAGGTAAGAGGCCATGACTTTATTTGAGCTGTTTGTTGTTTTTTAAAGATTTTATTGGGGAATTGGGGAAGGGGAACAGACAGGTTGCTGTCCTTTTGTTCCTCAGTCTAGTTGTGGAGGACATCGCTTCACTGGCCCATGTTGGTATTATCATTGCGCTCTTCCTGGGTGAGGGAGATCGGTTACCGGCCACTGGATGCTCGCTCATGGTGGCTCTTGGCTGCTCACGCTGGCTGCCAGCCACTCACGGTAGCTTATGGCAGCCCACTGCAGTCCTACTGCAGCCTATGCTATGGCCAGCGACTCATGGCAGCCCGGCTCCATGTCCAGCTGTTGTTCACCATCTTAGCTGTTAGAGGGTGCAGCATCACTGGCCCTAATGTGGGATCTGAACCGGGACCCTGCTGCTCAGAGCTGGCGTCCCAAGCCAACTCTTTTTTTTTTTTAAGATTTTATTGGGGAATTGGGGGAGGGGAACAGCACTGGGGAATCGGGGAAGAGGAACAGACAAGTTGTCGTTTTGTTCTTCAGTCTAGTTGTGGAGGATGTTGCTTCACTGGCCCAAGCTGGCACCATAATTGCGCTCTTCCCGGGCGAGGCAGATCAGTCGCCAGCCTCTGGACGGCCTCTCACAGCGGCTGCTGGCCACTCACACTGGCTGCTGGCCGCTCACGCTGGCTGCCAGCTACACACAGTAGCTTATGGCAGCCCACTGCAGCAGGGGACTGCAGCCTATGCCCTCGCCGGCAACCCACGGCAGCCCAGTCTCAGGTCGAGCTGCCGTTCACCATCTTAGCTGCAGAGGGCAGTGTCACTGGCCCTCATATGTGGGATCCGAACCGGTTCCCTCTGGCATCCCAAGCCAGTTCTTAACCAACGCACCACTCAGCCATCCCCCAAGCCAACTCTTAACCAATGCGCCACTCGGCTGGCCCTGAGCTGTTAAAAAAAAAAAAAATCCTCGAGGTGGTATTAAAGGTTAAGGGTTGAGATAACCCAGGTTAAGGAAAAGAGTTAAGATAACTCTGGGACAGAAGGAAAAAAATGGGCAGCTGGTTTTAATTTTGGCTTTTCAATTGGAATTGTTTACAAAACCTTTTGCTGGATAAATGAGAATCTGAACTTGTTCAGCTCCAAAGATAAGGGACATTTACTCCCTCCAGTTCGAATTTCGGGTATTCTTAGGTGACTAAGAATTTTTGTGGAGGTGTTTGAGGGTCTCCTCAAAACGTGCAGTGGCCTCATAGGGATTTCCAACACACCTGTAATTAAATATTTGACTCATCTGGGGACGTGCACATAAAGGCTGGTTACCTAGCACTCCAAGTCCTCACAGTTGTACTAGACAGCTGGGGAGAGAAACCAAGGCACGAAAGATGACTGAAGCAACTCAGGAGGTGACAGCCCCTTGGAGCTCAACCCATAAGCAGCACACTTCACCCCACTACATAATATCACTAGATATTTGTTCAGACTCTGCAGATCTCAAAAGAAAACCGAAAATTAACATGGGAAATCGTGCCTCAAAGGCCAAAAAGTTCCCAGCCCCCAGCCCCGTTAACACTCCTACAGATAGATGCACAGTTCCTAGGAGTCTTGCAAGTACTTACAGACACGGAAAGATGTAACTAGAAGTGATATCAACTTAAGATGGCCGAAACGGAGCTCTTAGAACATCTTGATTTTTGTGTGCACAATTAGTATAAGTCGGCTTAAAAATCAAATTAAATGGAATGGGAGGCTTATCTCAATTGGCAAATAGAAAGAAGCAGCTAAAATAGCATGCAGAGAGACATTCTTCTCTCCAGGGAGTTAGTAAGAACATTTGGAGACTGTCTCTGAACTAAAGAAGGTTTCTGAAGCTACTCAATGCCAACACCCACTTTTCCCTCTTTGACTGTCCCACTGTGTGCTTTATTTTGTCTGGACTTGCTCTCCTTTTCCTCTGTCTCTCTCTCTCTCTCCTGCACCTCTCTGTTGCAGCTCCCTTTGGAGAGGAGCTGGTCTTGGACGGAGGGGAATCCAAAGTTGTATGCAGGCAGAACTAAGGAATCTACTAAAGATTCCCCCAGCCCTCTCTAGGACCCTGATGACTTCGCAAAGGAATTTGAATTAAGTGTTAGAATGAACTTACTATCCTGGCTTTTCTGTTTTATCCCAATTAACACACCTACTGGTTTCTGAGAGCAAAGCAACAGAATTACTAAATAAATTTTGCTAGGGAAACTCCTGTAGAGGAATCTGCTTTTATTGTAAATCCTCAAGTCACCTTAAGGATTGTAGAAAACTGAAATGGGATTTAGAAAAAGAAAAGAAACAGAAGCAAGCATAGGGCTGCGCCAAGGGCCATGAGGGCATTTCCCCTTCTAAGGAACACTGGGGCTACTTTATCTGTTAATACCACCTGACTAAGTTGCCCCCTCCCTTGGAGTAAAGCTTCTGTACAATGGTAGGGATATCTAATCAACCGATGTCTGTTTTTAAAT